GATTGGCCTGGGCCGGAACAGGGATACGTTCAGGACAGGATGGGGACAAACGAGGAACCAAGGAGGGGACTATCCGAGAAACGAGAATCAGAAGTTGACGATTTACTACCACATTTGCTGTCCACTGGTCCACCGTGTCTGATTTACTGCTGTGATTGATGTGCATGTTCTTCTCTGTCTTTTCGCAACTGTTTGCAAGATGCCACCACCGAGGGCAGCAAAAACTCTGCCCTGACGCTGTCCCCGGCGAGCGGCGAGTGAGTGCCCACTCTCCGAACCCCCCTCCAACACTTGTCTCTCCATGCGCGGAAAGTACATCACCACTGAGACATGTCACGACAGGAACCCGCCCCTACCTCTCGATCCCACCGCATCCGGCGCTGCGCCCATCACACAATGCACACCATGCTCCCCGCCGGCGATGACCACGGAAGTACGTATCCTGCCCGAGCCTAGTACCATGTATTCGTCCCGCGCTCGCACGCGCCGGTTCCGATGATCGTCTCGAGTGTCCTTTTTTTTTGTGCTCTGTCGCGCTCACCCCGCCGCCGCTGTTTCTCATACACTCCCGTCCGCCCGCTCGCGCCGCGCCGCGGGACAATGATCGCGTGGTGCCTGGTCTCGTCACATGTTTGGCCGTCCCCCCCTGGTCCTACTGTCCCAGCCCCTCCCCCCTTCTGCGCTTCTCTCCTCCACGAGCGCCGCAAGCGGTATAAAACATGGTACAGGGACGGAAAGCGACAAGAGACGTGGCCAGCGGGCGGAGACGCGACAGACCGCGGGCGGGAGACAGAGGGGAGGTGAGGGGCAGGCATAACGAGCACGATAGTACACGGGTAGAACAGGGGAGGAGGGGGGTGTGTGCGGTCTGCCGACAGAGTGACCGACTGACCGACTGCCCGTTAGCCGGACGAACAGGGTTCGGACACGACACGACGATATAGGCGGCCTTCTCTGCGACCCTCCTGTTCCGGCTGGGGTGTGTGTGTGTGTGTGTGTGTGTGGAAAGCCCAAGAAGAAGGGAGTTAAAAATCACTCAGGACAAAAAAAAGGCGTGTCGAGCATCAGTTCATCATCATGCTTGCGTCGGCGGTATTTTGGGCATGCGAGGCTTGCCGGGGTTTTGGGCAGGGGTGTGGGGAGTTGGAGGGATTCATCTTTTTCCCCGTCTGTTCTGATTCAAGTCTCGTGAGGGCTTGTCGGTGGGCGGCTGGGGGGTTATTTTTGAGTGGTAGTTTGTTGCCCTCGGATATAGAGACCGCTTTGCAGAGAAGGCCGTTGGGAGTTCCGTGACGGCGCCTAGCGCTCTTGCCGCTCTTTTACAGTTTTGGCAGTGTCCGATATTACTTTGAGGTCAAAAACGTTATGTATGTTTATTTTTTCTTTTGCTTTGAACGACAAGAACCCAATTAACTCCACCAGCCACCTGCTGCTTTTTTCACAGCAAAGCCACAGACGGGTCGGGTCGTGTCTGGTGGGGGGGAACTCGGTTTACGTTTTTTGGTGTACAGAAAGTCGGCGAACGAGTTTGTGCATGACGGACGGGAAGGCGGCGGCAAACTGCGGAAAGGCTATTAATGTTCAGGATAGCCCATGTAACATGCAACGGCTTTTTTGGGGTGGGGGGGGGGGGCGGGTCGGTAGATGCCGAAACCCCTCCTTCTCACGGATCTCCGGGGAATATGCCTCTGGCGATTTAAAGGTGGAATGCCGCCGTGTTGCGGTGTACACAAGGCCGACTTCCCCGAATGAGTAGCCCAGTTGACCAGTTGAATCTCACCGGGAGGAGCAGCGAGGAGGGGATGGAGATCGTTT